GTGTACTCTTCACTGGGTAAAAAACTGGCTGGATGGCCAAGCCCAGAGGGTTGTGATGAATGGAGTTAAATCCAGTTGGCGGTGGGTCACAAGTGGTGTTCTCCAGGGCTCAGTATTGGGGCCAGTTCTGTTTAATGTCTTTATCAATGATCTGGATGAGGGGATCGAGTGCACCCTCAGAAAGTTTGCAGATGACACCAAGTTGGGAGGGAGGGTTGATCTGCTCGAGGGTAGGAAGGCTCTACAGAGGGATCTGGACAGGCTGGATCGATGGGCCGAGGCCAATTGTATGAGGTTCAACAAGGTCAAGTGCCGGGTCCTGCACTTGGGTCACAACGACCCCATGCAGAGCTACAGGCTTGGGGAAGAGTGGCTGGAAAGCTGCCTGGCAGAAAAAGACCTGGGGGTGCTGGTTGACAGCCAGCTGAATGTGAGCCAGCAGCGTGACCAGGTGGCCAAGAAGGCCAACGGCATCCTGGCCTGTATCAGAAATAGTGTGGCCAGCAGGAGCAGGGAGGTGATTGTTCCCCTGTACTCGGCACTGGTGAGGCCGCACCTCGAGTGCTGTGTTCAGTTTTGAGCCCCTCAATACAGGGAAGACATTGAGGTGCTGGAGCGTGTCCAGAGAAGGGCAATGAAGCTGGTGAGGGGCCTGGAGCACAAGTCTTATGAGCAGCGGTTGAGGGAGCTGGGGCTGTTTAGTCTGGAGAAAAGGAGGCTGAGGGGAGACCTTCTCACTCTCTACAACTACCTGAAGGAGGGTTGTAGTGAGGTGGGTACTGGTCTCTTCTCCCAAGTAACAAGTGATAGGACGAGAGGAAATGGCCTCAAGGTGCGGCAGGGGAGGTTTAGATTGGATATTAGGAAAAATTTCTTTACTGGGAGGGTTGTCAAACATTGAAACAGGCTGCCCAGGGAAGTGGTGGAGTCACCATCCCTGGAGGTATTCAAAAAGCACGTAGACAAGGTACTCTAGAACATGGTTTAGTGGGCATCGTTGACGGTTGGACTCGATGATCTTAAAGGTCTTTTCCAACCTAAATGATTCTATGATTCTATATGGTTGTGTAAGAGGAGAGTGCTTTTGGAGTGAGGAGCAGAAGGGAGTAGGGAGAGATCAGAGGAGACAGATAAGGGGAAAAGAAAGAGTAAATTTTTCTGGGGTTCCTTCCACGGGAATGTTTTCCTGAGAAACAATGACCTAATTACAGAAGCTTTTCATTTAGTGTAATGCTACCAAGCTGCAGGTCTACTAGTAAGACAACTACACAGAGACATTGACTGCTAATCAGACACTTTCACAATTATATCTAGAAAAAATAAATACTTATGCAATTGTATGGGAGAGACAGTTCTGAATTTGTAAATGTTAAGTTTGTCTCTCAGACATACTTAAAAAAGTTAAAGACAAAAAGAAAGAACAAGAAACCATTGTGAGACCAATTTAACACAACTGGGGACCCCCCCCCCCGAAGTCTTGGCCCTGATTTTCATCTTCATGGAGTGGGAATTTTGCCATTAATTACAACCAAAATGAGATCTGGCCCATTAGAATACTGCAGGTGATCAGTATCCTTAGTTTGCAGAAATTGCTCAGCACTTGACAGGCATAGGTTCATAAAAATACAACCTATGCTTAAAGAGAGCTGAGGTCTAGAAGGAACAGAAAGTCAGGACAGAGGCACATGAACTGAGTAAGGACCAAGAAAATGGAGTGCTGAAAATCAAAGCTGAAGCACACTAACAGGCTTGGCAGACAGGGATGATGACGAACCCAGGACGCCTATTCACGTGACACTTGACTCAAGCCAAAGCAATTAGTTCCTCCCTTCCACAAACACTAAGAAGTTCTTATGTTTAAAAATAAATCTTTTTAAAACAGAACTGTGTGTATAAGCTTAAATTAGGGTAAAAAGATTATTTACATAAAACTGCACTTTATGAAAAGTCCATGAAAAACAACCTGTGAAATGACTTCTTTTCAAAACTGTTATGAGTAACTTCAACCTCCTTTAAAATACCCTATGATAATCTTTACTCAGTATTACTTTAGCAGTAATACTTCGAAAATACCATGCAAGTGGAGAACATTAAACAAATGCATAACACAACATATACATTTATCCTTGAATAATCTTGTTCTTTGGAAAGTAAATCAAACCTAACAACGATAAGTGTTAAAAAAATCAGAGAAGTTATGGAAGCAATTCAGAAAAATGGTCAAATTTATAAATTGCTTTCTTTTACAGCTTATATGCCACTGCCTAATTTGCCAGATGCCTGGATATTCCCTGATTAAATAATACATGTGCCTTACTTCCAAACAGATTTTAAAAACCTGGTAAGCATTTTTGAGTGGTAGACGTAGCCCTTCTTCACAGGCTATCTGCAAAGGTTTGGGATTTGCCTATAGCTTTTGCGAGCAGAGTTCTGGTGTCTTGTCCTGCGTAGTATTTTTGGCTCTTGCGCAGAAACAAAGAATGTGTATCTTGTATGGCTGCATACAGTATCTTTTTTGGTAGTGCCTTGTGAGAAATATAAGGGGTCCCACATTACCACAACCTTTGTATAGCAGATTTGGAAACCTCCTCCCCACCGTGCCCGCCCTGGAGCCTGTGCTGTAGGTGATGTGAGTGTAGGTGCCTGTGAGCTCTGCTGACCCCTGCCCAGGCCTGCAGATTCCCGGTCATGGACAGCACGTCTGGGCCTGGGCTCTGGCATGGGTGTGATAACGCGGCAATTCTGGACCTTACTGGTGCACTCTGGCCTGACTTCAGCGGTGCCGCGACAGAGGCATGCTTATGGCAAGGGGCACTCGCTGTCCTCCCAGGCAGGAATATAAACGTGCTTTGGGGGTGGTTAGGGACTGGAAGAGGACGAGAGAACAGGCTTCTACTCGTATTCCTCACCACCCCTTTAGGTAGTAGAAAGTAATGAAAATTAGGCAGTGCTACAGAGCACATCACAGGAATGAGCGCCTTGGGAGGCACTGACAACACCAGAGCTCCATCCACCACTCCTTCAAACTAGTCACACGTTTAAAAGAGCACATTTTGTGGAAGAGTTCAAAAGCTTACATTACATTGCCCTTTGAAGGAGATCAGTTTTGTGTTATGAATTGAGATCCTGAGGGAGATTTTTCTAGTCCATTCTCCACTTTGAATCTAATACAGAAACAACAGAAAACAACTATTTAGCCAGCTAGCTCCTTTTTCCTCAAGAAGCCTTTATCCCATATAATTTAAAACAGACAAGATACTACGCTGCATATTGCATGTCCTGCAATGAAATGCGATGGCCCAAGAGCATTTTATCTTTAACTTCTAATAAGGTGAACCACAAAACAAGTACCACATGAGGATTTGTAGTGCATAGTGCCACATGCTTTATTCACTGCTTATAAAATGTTCTGCCAGTAAATGTTTTATTAATGTTCATTTGTGTTAAACAAGAAATCCTAAAGACACAACAACTGTGAAAGACGAAGAGAGAACATGAAGACAATAGGCCTGGAAAAACCATCTACAGAAGAGGGAATGGCATTATAACCAAAGATAAGTGCTGTTATCACACCAAAGCCTTCCTGTGAAACTCTTTCAGGAATATTACAGGAGCATGTTATTGGACTGAACTAGGTCTCAGGATCCTGGACTGTACTTCTATCTCTGCCTGTCAGGTACTCTTAGGGGAGGCGCTTCCACTTCCCAGCATTAGTTGCTCTCTATCTACAGTAACAGTAATGACATTATCTCCTTTAGTTTTATTAAACTTTCTGTTTCACCTCTGTAAAGTAAAAGGAAAAAAATATAGAAAATAGAGCAGTGTTAAGAGATCATCCAGTTCAGTCTCTTTCTCTGAGTGAGGATTAAATAGACCTATGGAGTTTCTGATTACACAGCCTTAAAGGCCTCCAGTGACAGGGACAACCTCCCCAGAAAAACAATTCTGGTGTCTACTTATGCCAGCCACGTGAAAACATTTCCTAGAGTCTAACATGAATCTTGCCTAATCTAATTTAAGGTTAGTATCACTTTTGCTTTGCCAAACGTCAGTGTGGAAAATGGGTTGTAGCTTTCACCCCTTGCAACAACCTTAAAAGATATATCTGCCTCTGGCATGTTGTCTTTCTGGACATGAAAGTCTTTCCTCTCTGACAATGTTTTCTGGATCCGTGATGACGGACAGTGCTCTCCCATGGAACCTCTGCAAACACAAATCTTCTCTGAACTATGCCAAACTGCAACTCATCCGAGCTTTACGACACTGGCACACTTTCCACTCCCTCATTTGAATCAGTAATGGAAACGTGGAAGAGTACCAGATGCAGGATGGATCCTATGAAGCTCTGTTCAATATGTTACCTTCTCGTTTTGACAGGGTACTGCTGAATGACAGGAACTCTGGCATGCAGGTATCCTACCACTTCTGTAACTGCCCTAGTGCATCATTTGGTGAGGACTGGTCAGAACAAAAAGGTATAAAAACACTTCCCAGAAGCCTTTATCCATAACATTCCCATTCTATTTCATAACCAGATAAACAGTCTTCATTTTACTAGTGCACTTCCAGAATGATTACTTATTATTCTTCATGTCTCCAGCTAGTGCCATTTTGCTCTGTGCTTTGGCCCTTCTCATTTTATTTCTGGTGCTTATATTACTGTTTTACACTTACCTTCAGTAATCTGACAGAAGTAATTCTTAGTTGCCAGTTTATTTCAACTTGATTCAAGCTCATAATATAGTCTCACATATTTTTCACTACACTTTCTTACACTTCTATGGAAGGATACAGAAGAGCAAGGGAACCAAAAAGATGTAGGGAAAGAAAGCATAAGTCAAAAAAGAGACTGACTCCACATTACGGAGAAAGGAAATGAGAAAAGGAGTATTTAGCTACAAAGGAGACAAGAATGACAACTCAAACAACATGTACATTATTTCCACAAATCCCCAAATTTATTTTATCACTGTATTCATTTATTTAATTACGGTACTTACATATGAGTGACTTTACTTAAACTGTTGAAGGAATGGGCGTCCAGACTCTGAAGTGTTTCATCTATGGAGATGTAGCTAAACACCGGCAAACAGAAAAAGAAACACATCTCAGACCTTGGCAAGCCGTGACTAGTGCCCATCATGCCACTTTTTTTGCCTCTCATTCTTTTTCTCATCCAACTGCCATGACACTGCCAGACACATGGACAGTGTCTAAGGGAGGAACTTTTAACAGGATTTTGATTTTGACTGATGCCTTAGATGCAGATTATACTGCAGAATACAGTGAAATCAAAAAAACAGTGCTATTAAGCAGCAAAACCAAACATATATATTTCACATTTCAGAATCATATTTCTTCCCTTTTCCCCACTTAAGAAGACCTTGGAGTTTTCTAAGGGGATCTAGCCCTCAGGTAAGTTGGCATATTTCTCTGTATTGAAGCATTAGAAAGGAAGGAAAGAAACAAAGATGGTCCCTGGGCCATCACTGCAACAACTGTCGCAATCCCTCTAGAGAGAAACAGATCATCAAGGCAATCAATGCTTTGGTATTGCTGAGGAAAAAAAACGTGCTCTGACATGAATTTAGAGAGAAACTCTAGCCATACAGTGCATGTCATAAAGGATGTAAGGAGTAATGTGGCTCAGAAGCAACACCAGAGAGCAAGCTTAAGAAATTTTTACTTGCACAGAATTTAGACTGAGTAGCATTTGTACTGCTCGTGATCTACTGAACACGATGAGAAAATAGCTCTACAGAATGTCTCCACCATCATTAGGAGGATGATGATACTGGAACAACTGTTAAAGGCTTTGAAGTGTGAATAAAGTTGCAATACATCTAACTAGTGCTGATTTTCAGAGTAACTGACATTACTACTTGGGTTAAATTATCTGATTCTGTCTTTCAAAATATCTCTCAGTTTTAAAAATTATTAATGCTGGAATAGCATTAAAAAGATGTATTCCTGTATTTTTATTTACTTTTCTAATCATATTATATACCATATGTCTAATCTATAGATCTTTTAAAATAATCAGAATGCCTTGTATATTCTTTATACTTATTGTTATTATTATTAAAATATTTAAGTACTATCTTTTGATACTCTTGATTGAAGTTACTGACTCGGTTTTTAATATTTTTGTAATTAATGTAATAATATACATACCCTGTGCAAGGCCTAGAATCATACTTAACTTAAGAAATATCCAACTGGTATTTTACATCAATTCTAATTGGGTTGCGTTCCTTAAAAAAAAACAGAGATGATTTTTATCATTCTTTCCATTTTTTCCAATGACAGTATTAAGAGTAACAATAGTAAATGGCAAATTAAAATGTGATCATTTAACTCAGGAGGGCTTTTTAATACAATCAATTATGGATCAGATTTTTATTTCTTGTGGAAGTTTTAAAGAAGGCAAATCTTTATTTCTTTCAATGGACGTTAAAAAATATTTAAGATGTTTTAAAAAATTGGAAAGAATACTTTGTGACCAGCACATGCTCTAACAACCAGCAGATGACTAATACCACTAACTGTTCCAAGGAAATTTATGTCCTCTCCAGACTGGAGCTAAAAGCATATTACCTGAACTAATTTAAACTCTTCTAACATGAGATTTACTTTTTATTGGTCACTTTGGAGATGTATTCACAGTGTTTGAAAAGATACCAGAAAAGTAACCAACAGAGATTGTATGACCAACAGATTCTCTTCCTACATTAATATTGCTTTTACGAAGCTATTTGCCTTTTCCAAAAAGAAGATAATAAAAGAAGAATACAATAAAGAAAGTATTTCCAGTATGTACGTCTGTGATTAAGTATTGCAGAGTTAGATGTTTATGTGAGATGCTTTAATTTTGATTTCCTGTAAGCAACAAATGTCTATTGCCCAGGAAACTGGAGTTTCAGCCTTACAAGAAAATTAATTATTCCATTTTAACAGAGCCTACATTTTAACATACCAAAAGATAGGTTATATCAATGACACATTAAAAAAAAAGTTGTTCTATGTAGCGAACAGCTATATATAAATCAGCTTGACAGAAAATGAAATTAGAAATGGATAATGAACAAACATTGCATCCTCATGCTGGGGCTAGGAATTAGAGAGTACTTTTTGTGTGCTCTGTGATCAAAATGGGTCACCTTACATCAGGCAGGCAAGTGCTTTTCTCTCACATATGAGAAGAGGCAGAAGAGCAGCAACGGGGATTCCTCCTCTGCTCCCTCACCCCTACAGCCACCACGTCCCTTCCCACCACACCACACATCACATTTTTACGATACTGCCTGGCTTGGAGCTGGTTGAGTTACAGTTTTGTATCTTTCAGCTGTGGGACAAAAGTGGGAAGGAAACGGCTTATTTTCTTTGTGTGTTGACCTCCACTCTTCTGCTTCATAAGTAGATGTATTTGTGTGCATTAATTAAACCACATCATCATTGATGACAGGGAAATCAGTAGGTTTATTTGCTTTAGTGTCAGCTAGATAAATACCCGAAAACCACAAAACCACTTTCAAAATCTCCCCTGAGATAGGTATATCAAACAGAAACACGTATTAATGGTGCATAAACACTTACTTCCAAGTGTTCAGAGTGCCTCTAAAAACCCTTGGACTCTGGCTAATAAACTCCTAATACAGCACATTAAATGTAAGACATAAAAATCGTAGCAATCGGAACTGGAAGGAGTTGCATCAGAAGAAGGAAAGTGTGTTTAAATTCCCATTTTGAAGGCATGTCACAATTCAGCACCTCCTCTCCCTACCAGCTGTGTTTAATTTGCAGGATTTCAGAATGCCTTCAACACCCATCACAAATACAGTCATAGCTTAAACACCAAATGCACAGCTTCAGAGAAAGTCTGTTTGTGGATAAAACTTTAATCACCATTGCCCATTCAGAAAGAGCCTGAGAACACAGGATTTAAAGCAGTTTGGCATGTGGTAGTAGCCACAAGGGCCCCTCCCTGCCCTTATTTTCTTCATTCTCCCTCTCTCTCTACTTTTCTTCACTTTTTTCCAGCCTCAGCATCCCCTGTGTTGCTGCCCACCGGCTGCCCCTGTTCTCCTCTGCTGCTGATGGAGGGCAGTTGGTGACGTGTGGGGTACTTCACCAGAGGACAACCAGAAGCAGCTAAGGCAGTCGAAGCCCTGAGTTGGGGCTGTACTGTATGGGCTGGCACTGGGGAGCAGGGGAGGCGTGGGAGCACTGGGGTGCAGATGCATGCTAGCTGGGGGGAGCCGTGTGGTGGCACTGGCTGTGGGACAGCAGTGTGCACAGGGCCTGAAAAGGCACAGTGTTGCACAGAGGAAAACAGTGCAGCGGGGAAATGTGCTCTGCGCGGGGCTGCTGGCAGAGAGCACTGTGCAATGCAGGGATGCTACTTTGCGTGGAGCAGCTGTGGAGGAAACTGCTCAGGGAGCTCCAGGTCGGGTGTCTGTGAGGTAGTCATGAATGTGACCCCAAAGCACCATCCTGAGCCCAAGAAAAAGGTTCCTTACCCTTGACCTTGAAAACACTGAATGTTCAACCTGTCCTAAGTCAGTGGGAAATACCAGATGAAGCCCTTCGACCAAGATCTAATGTATTTGCAACTTTACGGATGTAAAACACAAATTTCTCTTGCATCTGAATACCTTACAAAACCTTTTTTGTCAAAGTGCACTGATGCATTTCTAACAGGAATTAGCTTTGCACTTGAGCCTTTAATTGAAATGCTTTATGTTTCATTCCTGTGGCAAAGCAGCACAGGGAAACAATCTCTACTTCTGACTATCAAGAGTACATAGATATGCATTCATTTAAGAGAAATAGTAGCTCTAAAATTTTTGTTTAAACAAGGTTCATAAAGAGGACAACTGAATTTTCTATTCAGTGCAGAGGAAAAAAAGGTTTATTTGTGGAAATTATATAGTAGAAACCATATAGCAAAACAAAGTGCTATATTTGGAACAGTAAAGACAGTCTCTATCACCCTATTGAAACTTCAGGACATTTTCTAGATGAGTTTACAAAGCAAAGAACAATCTGGTAATTTTCGTTGCTGATGGAAGTTATGGGTTAGGAGAGGCAATGAGACGTGGTAAGTCAGAGGCCAAGACATACACCCAAGAGCTGTAGTTAAAATACAGGTACTGGTTCCTTAATCCAAATTTTATATCAAGAAGGTGGGAGTTCATGATTTGTAGTAGTAGTAAGACTATAAGAAAAATCCAGAACAGCATTGACACCATCCAAATTTAAACTGCTGTCTAATCTTCATAGGCTTTTAAAAAATAACAAGAGAAAGAGAAATGTGGTAATCCCAAAGGCATTGCAGAGCAGGAGAGAGACTGTAACACTACCACATCAGGTCATGATTTTAGGTGGGTTACTGCTATATTCAACTGTATCTATGCTATTTTCCTACACATAAATGTGGAGTAGGGGGAAGGTGAAACTCCATATTCAGATACTCTGTTTAAAGAATAATTCGTGGAAGATAGTGACATTTGTTTTCCCAGGTAGCCTTGAAATCACAAACCAAATACAATGACATGGATGCCAACATATTATCTTTAGATGTATAAAAAGTACCTATTCATCTTATTTAAGGCCATAAGGTCTTTGCAATTTTGACTTTCCTCTTCGACTGAAATGTGATCAAAGCATGCAACAGAGTGGTTATCTGTTACCATGTTACTACCAAACAGTATAGGCAAAAGATTGGCATTGACTCATAATGCCCATGGAGAGAGACTAGGTGGCTAAGTGTCCTTAGCCTACGAGGTCACTAAGTGATCTAGAGACAGGCAGTGTGAATAGCCCTTTCTCACCTCCAGTGCCATGAAGGTTAGGAAGATTGGGTGTAACAGCCTTTTGGCCACTGGAAGTTTTTGGGAGCTAGGCATCTTTAGAGAAGGGTTCACTGAGTTCTTCAGATGAACATCTGTGCTTTTAAAAATTCACATATATTACAATTTAAGAATTAAAATCTGAAAAGCGTCTAAGCAATGGATTATGTGTTACTGAAAGCTGAAAAAGAGTTGGCATCTTCCTACATTTAAGAAAACTCTGTTTTGAACAGTTTATCAGATTTATATACAATACTATACATCATATGAGGGACATTCCCCCCCCTCCCCCCCAAGCCCCCAAAACAATACACCATCTACCTGATTAAACTGAGATGGTAAATGAGGCTGCAGATATTCAAGAACAATTACTTATAAGGATTTTAGAAAGTCTTTACTTCAATACACCTGGACAAAACTATAAAATATAATTAGGCAGACCTCTATGTCCCCCCAAAGTCCTGTTTCATGAATTCTTAAATAGTAGTCCATCTCAGCCATTCAGCCAAAGCTCAGCTGGAGTTGAGACTTGCAAGGAATGTCAAGGACAACAAGAAGAGCTGCTATTGCTACATTTGTAATAAAAGGCTGAACAAGAAAAATGTGGGCCTCTTGCTGAATGAGCTGGTTTGTTTAGTTAATAGTGGACACAGATAAAGCTGAGCACCAGCCTGGATAAAGCCCTGAGCAGTCTGGTTGGACCTTATAGTTGGCCCGACTTTGAGCAGGTGGTGGACTAGAGGCCTCCTGAGGTCCCTTCTAAATTACATGACTCGCTGATTCTAGGGAGCGAATTGGGAGATGGCAGAGAAGTTCCCTGCATCAAATAGCCACGCATGGGATGTTAGATTATGGGCCAGCCACCAAGAAGAAGAAACAAAGGTGGGACAACTTTGTCTCAAGACTGCTGACATGAATGAGCAGTCCAGTGCAAGGGTAGCCTCTTTCAATGCAACAAATGTTGACATGGGGCAAATAGGTAGAGGCTGCTGGCTGTGATTTATGGATTATATCCATGCATGTGTTTACATACAAAGGAGGTAACACAATGGAAGTCCCTCTCATATCACACAAATACTAATGTTTCGGTGAAAGTCCATCCCTAGTCTAGAAATGCCACAGGGTCTCCAATGAAATGATTTACAAATCATGCTGGGAGCTTGAAACAAATTTTTAGCCAGGACCAGCAATAGAATATGTTCATTTGTTATGAATTAACATTTTTTCATTTTAACATTTCATTAACATTAATTAATTAACATTAATTAATTTTTTCATATTTTGGGAACAGCAAAAAAAAAAAAAGTTTTAAGCCTTATTTATCACATCTACTTCAGTAAAGGTGTGCTCTTATCCAAAAATGCCTAGGTATGCCTTCCTATAGCTATTTCAGGTTATAAACAATGGGATGATTACCTGCAGTTCTAAAATGTAAGTGGTGAGGTAGCAAAGGTGCAAGAATATTTTCATTTCACAAGATTTTATACACAAAGACAGAATTTTGGAGAAGGAAAGTGGTTTTTAATAAAAAAGCTAAAGGAATAATATCGAAAACAGAACTTACATCCTAGAGATGTTGGGGAGATTGGAAAAAGCGTCACTTGGAATTGTTCTTAGATGAGTCTCCATAAACCTCCTACAGAAATAAAAGTTTGGCAGTTAATATCCTTTGGTAAGCACAATTTAACATTAAAAAGTCCTATACAACTCCAGCTCTGCTCCAATATTTCTATTTTTATCTTCCCTTTTCTCAATGTTTCTATCTTTGCCTCAACTCTATTCCTTTTTCATTATGTGGCTTGGTTTGCTCCCTCAGTCTAAATTACAACCTTCTACATTATCTCTCCTAGGAACTCAGCATTCAGTGGTAATGATGGACCTTCCAAAACTCCAGAGCATGACCTGCAAACATATTTGTCCATCGAATTAAATGAAGTATTAAGAGTATAAGCATTCTTTTAATCATTTCAGGCTCCACAAAAATACCCCATCCCTCATTCTGAGCGAGAAATTCAGGTATACCAGCCAAAATTGAATTAGAGCAATTGCATACTACCTCCACAGAATTCTTTGTACACTTTGTAATAAAAAAACCATTCTTCCTCCCTAAACCTCTGATGTGGGGATGGCATGTACATTGTTATTTTTTAACTTAAGCCCAGTTAAAGATGCACTTCAGGAGAGAACAGAATCATGTGTCTTACCCATCTGCAGGAGGTTTCAGAAAAACAGGCAATATTTAAGGGAGATACTTATCAACAGCCAATTTCTTAACAGAATGAATCTCTAGCAGACTGACTCCTCCAAAACAGAGGAAATGCTTTGGAAAATTAGCCTATAATGTCTGTTAAACTTACAATTACAACCTGTCATTGCTGGATGAGGTAATCTTTGGTTTTCCAGTACATCTGGGAATAGACTTATATAATTTATAGTCAATCAATAGCCTGAAGAATAATCAAGAACAAATGATAAACTTTTCCCATAGCTACTATTTAAGAACAGTTCAGTAGAAAAGAACTAAAAAAATTAGGATGATTTCCTAATTCTGTTTTCTGTTTCATAATATGAAGTATCTGATTATAATAATTATATTTGATTTACACAGACATTATTATCATCTTAAGAGTTACCAAGCTTCTGGAACTTGCAAACAAGAAATACAAATACATGTAGAAATTCTTAAAACTTCCACCTTGAGTAAAAATATAAATTAAGAGAATGTACACTCCTGTCATCCCAGGGGAAGGCTCTGTCTGCTTCCCAAGTATACCTCCCTTACTCCATATACTTGTTAGAAGAATGAGCAAGGAGAACCTAAGACTTCTATTTTTCCAACAGTGGGTTGATGTTTCTCTTGACCTCAATCCACCCAGCTCCCACTGAGCCCCCAACCAGGGGAATGTCAGTTGGTCCAGAGGTATACTTGGTATTCCCCTGCACCCATAGCACCCTGACACCCATACCAGTGCTCTCCCATCCTTCTCCCTCCTCCACTTCATACTACTGCTTCCTCCTATTATCACAGTCCTAGACAAAATATTTGTAAAAACCAGCTGCTTAGTCCAGCACACCCTGCTGATCTTGCTGTTGTGTTTCAACATCTGTCTGTATTTCCAGGCCTTTCAGGAGGCTGACAGTGATGACTGAGGAAGTTCTGGTTTCAGACAGATTTTAACAAGTCCTAAAGTAGAACAGAGTGAATGAGGGACCTTGACAGGCTGGAGAAATGGGCCAACAGGAACTTCACACAGTTCAACAAGGAGAAAGTGGAAAGTCCTGCACCTGTGGAGGAACAACCCCAGGCACCAGTACACGCTGGGGGTCAACTGGCTGGAAAGCAGCTTTGCAGAAAAGGACCCCGGGGTCCCGGTGGACGTCAGGTTGAACATCAGCCAGCAATGTGCCATTGCTGCAAAGAAGGCTATTGGTTTCTTGGGCTGCATTAGGAGGAGAAAGCTTCTCCTAAGGCTTCTCCCTGAGACCTGTTAGAACTCAGAAGCCCAGAAAAAGATAGTTTAAGCCACTTCCAACTATCCAAGCTCACTTTTAACCTCTCTTATATCCCTCTGGTCCTCTGTTCACCTACAAAATGCTGACTCACACTATAGTTCCCATCACCAGTCATTACAGAAACTAGTACTTAACCTATCATAATTCCATGTTCCAGAAAAGCAAGAATTTAAACACCATCCTAAGTCTCTTCTTGACCTCCTGCTCTGATGTCAGACATTCATCCCTCTCTTGTTTTTGTCAGATAATGAACAGAGTCAGACCCATCATTCATGGGCTAAGTGACCTAACGTTAACCTTTCATTGACATACCTGAAATTTACACATCCCATCAGGAAAGCCTGGAAATCCTGGATAATATTTATGAATCAATTATATCGAAGTTGCTGTATTATGAAACAACTCTGCATTTATAAATTTCTAGACAAGGTTCCTAATATCTCAATAGACACAATGAAGAAACATAGCCTTAAAGGCTGTATTTTGACTGAATGGCTGGTAAATTATGTGGTTTGAAAGTGGGAGTATCATATTTCTTCCTATCTATCTGCTAGAGTTTAAAGATATACCAACATTCTGCAAATATGACAAACCCCCATATGGGTTACAGGATGTGTTTATAAACAGACTCATAAAGAAAATAGAGACAGTAAAGTATAAATAGAAATCTTAGGCAGAGGAAGAGAAGCAGCAGCCCATTTCATGACAAAAACTTGGTTGTGAGGTGAAACAGTATGAGATTGTCAGCAACGCTAAAAGACTCCAAGTTCACGTAATACACCTACTACATAAACAACATGCTAAATAATAGCAGGTAGCACATACTGACAAAGTAATTGGTGTTTGTTAGCTGCCATTCTTCAACTACTTGCTGTCTTAACAGATTGCTGACTGAGTTCAAAGAGTCAGTGATTACACAGACCGTCATAATGTGGAGTCAATGCAACAGGCCTGGGGCCGGGGCCAAACTTTTAAGCCAGCCTTTGCATACAACCACCTGCAAAGCTCCAGTTCTCTCCGAGTTTTAAAAACCCGTGGGCTGATACATGACTGCTAATTTTAAGCCACCTCCTAAAGCAATTTAAAACTTTGCAGAAAATATCAGTGCTTGAGTCCCTGTTTGCCAAGTGTGAGTCTGTGGATAATTACTGGTTGGGGACCACCAGGCACCAGTGGTGCGTAGAAGGCTGTGGGACGGACAGTAATTCTATGGAGTGGGAAGAAGACAGGCTGAGAAAATTCTCAACCAGAACAGTCTATGGTGGATCAAAAATGAGAGTAATTTAAATAGACTAACTTCAGTTTAGCTGAGTCTAACTGCATATAAAGACCACAAGCTTACCAACTGTGCTAATACGCTCTTCAGGCTGGGAAAGCAGCAAGTTTGGGAATTTAAAGCCCAAAGCCAGAAACAAGAAAGGCAAGACAGGTCAGGACTTCCAGCCTGCCAACTACAACATACAGTATGAACATACGATGAATAATTGAGAATTCATTATATTAATGGACTATGATTCTTCCTGTCTTACATGCATTAGAAACTTTCTTTAAACCTGCATGTTTCAATTTGAAATTTAGCAAGTGAGTCCAGTATCCAGCCAGCCACAGTATGTTCATGAATAAAGTAAGCTTTTTCAGAATAAAGGAAAAAACTTTGCTGAGAAAAAAATGCATTAGTCTTCCAAGTGAGAAAAACTGTAACTATAAGCACTTACATATTTAATAGGCTCACTTATTTTCCTTTCTATATTAAGGCAAAGACAACACACATGAGAATGTTCAATACCATTTAATGAAAAAATTGCTCCTGTGCTAACCTGAGTACTACCACTTATTTTTACCTTTATTTTCTCATTCAGATTAGAAGCCTCAATAAATAGAGAAAAAAATCTTCAGTCTTTATTCCATAAATCTTTCAAAAAGAAGAAGCCAAAGTCTGAGGTCATTTTCATTACAAACATGCTATTAATATTTGCAAAGATACAAAAGCATACAAATCTCATTTTTGCTAAATGAGTCGTTTCAAAAATGGCAAGAAAATTTTCCAGAAAAACATTTTAAATTTTATAGGATGACATTTAGTTTGTGTTTCTTAGTTTCATATGTTAGAAAGTCAGTTTGAAGTTTTTAAAATTTTCTTTCTGCTTTGATATTTACACCAAAAGTTTAGCCTGTATGTTCCTGAAAGACTCTACATTGCATATACCAAGAAAATGAAACCTGAACAACTGATAAGAAACATATTAGGCTGCTTGTGCAGAACTTTGCATTTTTGCTTTCCTCTGCCCAAAACACCTGGAATGTAAAGAGCTTCTTGGTCAAAAATCAAGTACTACTTGATTTGCTAACAACTGAAAAAACTCCCACTTTGAATCCCTTCTGATCTTCCCAAACAATCTTTGGCAAAGACTCTGTTTCTTAAAATTAGCCTAATTATTTTCATTAAAGAGAAAAAGAAGCTTCTTTTAAAAGTAAAAGACCACATAGACTTCAAGTATTTTATATCTGCATAGAAACAACCCTGTTTCTGACTAACTCAGAATACAGGTATACATAAATGGAGATTGTGAAGTATTCAAACTTAAACATATTTGCTTCATTTTAATGACCATACAGTATCAACGCACAGAGCATTACCCAAGCATCTAGTAGATGATAATCTTGTCTTTCCCTTAAGCACTGTATTTCTAGTACTGCTGAGCACTGATTCATTATTTGTGCTTTGCTGTTCTATGACAGTTAATCTAGTGTCCTATTTGATAATGCACCAAGGAACTCTTTTCTTGGGGTGGCTGGTGACTACACTCCTATCAGTTAAGAAAGAGCTATCTAATGATGAATGAACATTTTGTTAGTTTCAGTATTAATTAGTCCTATCACTTAAGAGCTGTAAGAGTAGGCAGCTTAAGCCAGGCATAAGACAATGAAACTAGAATCAGCCCTGTAAACTAAGCAAGTGGCATTAATTGCAATGTAATTAGTGATGTTAATTGCTTTCAGTATATTCTGTTGTATCACAGCCATTTTTTCTCATTTTAGACTGCACTTTAAAAAAAATATCTATAAATAGTAATCCATTAAAATATGCAATTTACAGCTGGCTTAAAACAAGGTGTGCTGGTT